TGTGTATAATGCTTTCAGTACTCGAGTAGAAAAGCCACTGAAGGAGTATGGGACCTGGCACATGTGCTTGGACTGTGGTAGATCATCTTTCTCTGAGGCACATGAGAGAGTCAGGCATCGTCTGTCACTGGGAAGGTTAGAAGACCAGATCAGTGTTCCCTCACGTTACTGCAAATATTCCTCTGTCTCAGCTGATTCCTCTTTCCTGCTTGATTCTTTGTCTTCATCATAATTGAAATGGATGATATGTAGTCCTCTGACACATCTTCTATTTCAGTTTCACATTCTGAAAATTCAAGAAACTTCAAGAAGTCCAGTCACTTTCTTTCCAAGCTCCTCAGACTACCATGTCCTGGATGCCTGAGAACCTACTTGAACATAGTTCAGATTCTTCATCACTTTCCTTCACTTCATAGCCTTCTTCCACTTCTGCAGGTGGCTGATGTGCTTTTTCAGAGAAAGGGTAGCATGTGTTCTAAATATTGACAATATTTTCTATATCTTCTAACCCTGGATCTTCCTGAACATTGATTCTCCCTCCTCATTATACTAGAGGACAATATGTGCTTTGTCCTACTGGTCATTGCTTTGCACAACATGGTAAAAAAAAAGTATGCTCATCAAAGTATGCAAATCTCCAGTGCAATGGAGGCTTTTGAGGATACTTTCTGTGTATGTATTATTGTAGGGTCGACCTTACAATATGAAGCACTTTGATGCGGCTGTTGTTGTGATTTGGCGCTGTATAAATAACATTTCATTGAATATAGAGCACCTGCCTCCTCATTGTGCTGCCTGTTGTTGTTGTTGTTGTGGTTGTTATGACCAGTGCTTGACCCCACACATCAGTGATCCAAGATCAAAGATGTTTGAAAGCAGTATGTTGTGAAAATACGGCTCTTTGCAACACTTTGTACTTTGGGGTCATTTCTGTCCACGAGGACCACAAGTGTTATAAAATCCAATAAAAACCCCATAAATAAATCAAATTACTTAAAACTTATTGCAATCATGCATAGTATAGTAATGAATAACTTCTGTTATTTTCAGACCATTTGATGAATAAAAAACACATTTTTGATAGCAAAAGATTTCTTTAGAGGACAAAAATGACCCGTGGACAACACAAGGATTAAGTCTGGACAAGTAGAATAACAGGATGCATCTGGAGGAACTGAAAGAGGAACTGTTCTGTTTTAGTGACGCGAGGTACTGGTCATCGTAAGTATAAATATTACACCCACCTATTGTAAGGGAAAGATGGAGCCTGATGTTTTGCAGAGCCTATCTTCACCACATATATGTGTTTTAATAAAATAATTTGTGTTGACCCACTATGGACTTTCAGTCGTATGTCTCTTCCTCAAAATTCGAACCGCGACAAAAGTCAGAATACACAATGCATCACAGTTTGTTGCGTATGAGGCTGCACAGCCACAGAACAGCCAGGCGGTCCATGCTGACCCCTGATCACCACTGAAAGCAACAACAATGAGCATGTGAGCATCAGAACTGGACCACGGAGCAGGTTTTCTTTATGTGCGTCGCTTACCTGGGGAACACCTGGCACCAAGATGCATTATGGGAAGAAGGCAAGCTGGTGGGGGCAGTGTGATGCTTTGGGCAATGTACGACTTGGAAACCAAGGATCCTGTCGTCCATGTGGATGTTACTTTGACAAATACCACCTAACCATTGTTGCAGAACATGTACACCCTTTCATCGAAACTGTATTCACTGATGGCCGTGTCCTCTTTCAGCAGGATAATATACCCTGCCAGAGAGCAAGTACTGTTCAGGAACGGTTTGAGGTGTTGACTTGACATTCAAAGTTAGCCAGATCTCAACCCAGTCAAACATCTGTGGGAAGGAAATGTGCTGTACAAACATGTCTGATCGGTGGAAGCCCCACCTCACAACTTAGAAGACTTAAAGGATCTGTTGTTAACTTCCTGGTGCAAGATGCCACAGCAGACCTTCCGGTGGTGTCTAACTGAATACATATCTTAAAGGTTTAGGGCTGTAGTAGCAAAAGCAAACACAATATTAGGCAGATCTTCATGTTATGTGTGTATGTGTGTTTAATGTTTCCTAAGTAAATATATTTCCAAAGATCCAATTTGAAATTCTCAACAGATGTCCATTAATTGTTATGTGTAATAATGAGAATATTGTCTCTGGTCAAGTGAGACCAAAATTGAACTCTTTAGATTCCAGAATACACACACCATGTTTGGAGGTCAAAATGCGCTGCATATCACCCCTAAAACACCATTCCAACAGTGAGTTTAGAGGTGGGTACATAATGGTGTGGGGGTTTATTTCAGCATACGGCACTGGCACGCTTCATATAACTGAAGGAAGGATGAATGCGAAAATGTGGCGAGGAACTAATAAAAAACTGCTGCCACCTACCAGGATGATGAAGATGAAACGAGGGTGCACGTTTCAGCAAGCCAATGACCCCAATTGTCATTTCTCATTATTACACATAACTTAATTTCAAATCTAAATCTACGGTTTGATTTCTTTGCATGTGTGGACTGGAATGGTTGTTGACCAACATCTGGTGATTACCTTTAGAAACACATTTACTTAGAAAATTGATGATGTGTTCAACAATTATTTGAACCACTCTGTACATTAAAATAATGCACATGAACAAAACTTTGGTAATACCAAAAGATGAGAATTAACAATCATTGTGCCAAAGTCTTTGGAAATCAGAGTAAAGCAGGAAAGCAAATCTTCAGTATTTGAAGAGTTTGTGTTTTAGAAAAATATATGAGTTCTTATGAACCCAAACAAAAATGTGTTTGAAACTGACGGATGGATTCACACATCACATTTAACAATATATCCACTATCATCACTATTTCTGGCTTTTTTTCCTCTCGGGGCAAATATAAGATAAAAGCATGTCTATCATTTGCTTGACGATAGGTGGAGGAGGATGGAGGGCATGAGGTAAATGGTGAGCTAAAGTCATTTGCCAGGCATCCACCACCAGAACGTTCAGCCCCTTGAACATGGTCCTGAGCACCTGATCGAGCTGCTGGGAGTACCAGTCGCTGTTGTAAAGGCTCACCTCCTGATCCAGGGCTTGAAGATTGGCTGAGCGGATCACTATTAGCGTCCCTGGCGCTCGGTCTATAAGTCTCACCAGTGCCTGTCGAATGTGCCGAAGACGCCGTATGTATATGTCCACAGGAAAGGTGCTGAAGTGGGACCAGATGCTTAGGACCACAACCACGTTAGGGCCCCCAGAGAGGCCGTCAAGCTCATTCGAAACGTACCGCAACTCGCTGGACATGACGGTAGAGAAGCGGATTGGAGGGCCGTGGCAGCGGTACTTCAAGAGAATATTATGTGTGCTGTCCACCGCCATGAGCGGTCCGACCTTTTTGGGATTGTATAGGTTGAACTCCTTTAATTCTGGATGAGATGGAATAAATGAAAGTTACAGTGGGTAGTGTAAGTGTCTATAAAATGAAATAAAAGGACAAAACCGCTCACCTGGTACAAAACCAATGAGATACTCGAACCACTGTCTCACAGTAGAGTCTCCGTACATGTTGATCACCTTGTTCTTCAAACACTGTACAGCTGCTGATGATTTGTTGAACTGACGCATTGTAAATCCATCTAATGGCCTCCAGGAGTCCATGTAGTAATATCCAGATGTTTCTAGCTGAATATGTTCTGGTTTAGCTGTGCTGTTTTCTTCCTCCACTTTATCTGAGAGGAAGTAAAGAATGCTGAAGACAAAATTCATTTTTAGATCACAGCAGGTGCTACAAATGTTCCTCTCCCACAGTACCGTACCTTTCTGTGGCAGCACGTTGATTTTATCAGGTCCTGAAGCGTGTATGTAAACTTTGAGATTTACACCACTAGGACAGATGGAAAAAAATGAATGTTAAAAAATAATGTCACATTTCCTACTAATATCTTGGTCGAGTTGCTAAGGCATAAACTCATCTTTAAAAGTCAGATAACAACTGAGTGCTGTTTTAGCTATTTTCGTATGTATAGATATACCAGAGAACTATTATCAGATCACCAATAACAAATCTGCTGCAAGATTTGAGCTGCTAATGATGTCACCAGGGGGGAGGTAATGGTGCGCATTTCCACAATATTAAGGCCTTATTTTTAAACAGCTGGCACTAATGTGTTGCCCATCTTACACACAATGTGTGCAGCATGGGAAGAAAATAATCTATACTGCAGATAGTTTTATTTTAATGGTTTCTGACTGCAGACACTCATTGTTTGTGGGTTTTTTATGAATTAAGAAAAATAGGAAATCTCACCACACTTATCCTTTAACAGTAGATACAGTAAATAAGCATCCAAATCCTACAAAGCATACAAACCTTTTGAATAACAGCGCTTCCTTGTTGGTGATGAGGTTTTTCAAGTAGCCTCCCTTAGCATGGTTGATTCTGGTGTCACAGCTGAGCACCTTGGGCTTGTAGCAGTACCAGGGCTCGCCTGTGTGAAGGTCTGTGTAGTTGCAAAGAGGCTGATGGTTGGTAGGCAAGCACAGGTTGCACACAGTAGTTTCTGACAAAAGGCCTAAACGGAACACGCTCTTAAAAAACACCCGATCGGCCCGTTCCTCCCTGAGTCGTCGCAGCACAGCGACGGCCTCACTGGAGTGCACCAACATGACTTCAACCTGTGCAGAGCCCACCCACAGGAGTGGGAACAGAGCAGAATAAAATCCATTCTTGTGGTCAACCACCTGCCCAACCACGGCCGCTCCAAGCTCCGGAGAGTGCAGCCTGGCCAGAAGGAAATCCCCGCCGTAGCGTTTAGGGCGACCCTGGAAGTCGTGCATCTGGATGAGGGCCTCTAGCTGATCGCCCACGTGCCACTCCCTTCCTTCTTTAGTGGGAAGTATTGCGAACAGGCTGTGGACAGGGTCGCTCGTCTGCCTCAGGGTGGTTGGTCCAGAGTGAGGCGGAGGGCTGGGCCAGCTGATGAGTTCCAACAGGTACCGCTCCTCAAGTTCATCCTCAGGGGAGGGTTTCTGGCCCACATGGGTACAGTAGGTGTGGTTGTGATAGAAAGGAGACACACTGAGGGATGAATGGATCCTGCTCTGCAGTTGGTAGAAAGATGAAATCGCTTGGCAGTTCCAGTTCTGAAAAGAAGAAGGGTAACTGAATGAATTTTAGAGGATACCACACTATGGGTTGTAGAATATTGCAGGAATAATTCAAGAGGAACTGCACAGATGCCAAGATAAAGATCACTGGTTAGAAGAAGTCCTACTCAGCCTGTGAAAGCAGTTTGATGCGGACAGGACTGAGAATAACAGAGCTGAAGGTTGCTCATAGGCAAATAATTTCCACATACTCAATATTACATTTTGGGAAACGTAAGATCGGGTATGATTGGAGCTCTTTACGACCCTTACAAAGGACTAAAATACAAAATATCTTAACTTTTGCTGCCATTAAATTGACTTGCCAACTTCTAATAACCATGCTTCAATCCTCTTAATCCATGAACCAAGCAGCAACATGAAAAATTAAGCCATTAGTGCCAAAAATCTAAGTTTCTCCATCCCCACAGACCCCCAGAGCAAAATGACCAACAAGTGAAAGTTGCTATTACATTCATGTGTTTTGTTTGTTTGTTTGTTTTTTATGTTCACACATATGGATTTTGTTAAAGCTTAAAGATTTGACCCCTACTAATTAAAGTCCACACATTTGACTGCTCAGCAGAGTTTGTACTACTGGTTCCCCCTTCTGGCAAAAGACAAGGCCTGCTGTATGTTGCAGCTTGTCCACGAATTCCAATGAGAAGTGTGTGAATTTCCGATATTTTATTACTCTTGGCACAAATTAGCAGGAATGTGTGTCTGTGCAATCCAGCTGTGGTTTATGTATGCAGCTTGCTAAACTTAGCTGATAACAGATCATTCAGGGTGATCTGAATGCTTCTTATAAGGGATTATATGCAAACTTTTAAGAGTGCAGCTCTGTTTCCTTCAGTAACTCAGGAAGGTCCCTTGTGGTTCAAAAAAGATCACAGAAACAAAAAGTGACAGGCCACAGAGTTGCAAAGCAGGGTCAAAGCGTGCTGACCCAGATAAAAGTCACCAGAGCACTGCAGACTCAAGCACAAAAATTGTGCCCCACAACCATTATGGTATTATGGCAGCTCCTTAATGCATACCCAATCCACTATTTTTGTCCATATACTCTGTTTTAGGAGTTCCCGACTGATTTCTGCAATAATATAAAAACAATGAAAAATTTGCCTGCTATGTGAATAAATCAAAAATCTTTTGAGACTTTTCATAACTGTCAAAAATGAAAAGAAAAAGCATGAGTTAAAGCTCACGGGTAGTTTCACTTCTCTCCTCACCTCTACTGTGTGGATGTTCCGCAGCAGGAAGATGATGCCAGACAGTGTGAGGAAGAGGAAAATCGGGGTATATTTGGACAGATTATGGCACATGGTGACCCTCTTCTAAATCCCATGATCACACTCTGCTGTCACCAGGACGACATAATGTCATTCCAACCTGCTGTCAACGAGAAGGACATTTTATATATATGTGTGTGTGTGTGTGACAGATGTTCTGTTCTTCGTTATGCAGTTAACCATCTTCTCTGTGTGTCATACAGAAGTAAATAAAAATATAAGAATTCCTTTTTCAAAACAGCATGAAAAAAGCATTTGTCCCCTTCCTGATTTCTTTTTTTGTGGCATATTTATCACACTTACATGTTTTAGATCAGAAAAAAGTAATATTAGACAAAGATATCAGTCCTGCGACTGACTGGTGACCTGCACAGGAGGTGTCCTGCCCTATGACATCTGGGATATCCTCCAGTCCTCCTTGACCCTGATAAGGATAAGCTGAAGAGAAAGGATGCATGGATGGACAAAGATACCTCGAATAAATGCAAAATGCACAAAAGTATTAAGGGACAAAAGCTATTCAAACCTATCTGGCCCTATGTAATATTGTAATAACTGGCAGTGAGTCTTTCACTGTGGAGGAATTTTGGTCCACTCTTGTTAAACTTTAGTTTTAGGGTTGAACTGAAGGCTCGACATTCACTTTCAGGATGTTCTGGTAGAGAGCAAAATTCCATCTGTGAAGGCATGTCATCCAGATCCAGAAGAAACAAAGCAACCCCAGACCATCACACAACTAGCATTACCATGTTTGACTGCTGGCAGTGTTGGGGAGTAACGGAATACGTGTACCGGCGTTACGCATTTCAAAATATGAGTAACTGTATTCCGTTACAGTTACCGTTTAAAGAGGCGGTATTCAGAATACGATTACTTTGTTAAAATAAAGGGATTACACAGCGTTCTTTTCCTGTTTCATATGTTAGGCTATGCCCACTCTATTTTTGGTAACTCCACGCCGGTGGAAACCCAAACAAAACGAGGCTCTTTGTTTCAATCTCGTGGCCCACGTCATCTCTGCTTGCTTACATATTTCCCATTCTTTAGATAGTTGTTGGAGGTGATCGCTGTTTTGTCAGATGACTTTGGGGCCAGTCAGTACCATCATGTCAGCCCTCAAAAGCACACAAAAGTTAGTCTTTTTTGTCCCAGTCTTGGTCTCGGTCTTGGTCTCGTCTCGACTTGGTCTTGGTCTTGTCTTGGTCTCGATACCCTCTGGTCTTGGTCTTGTCTTGGTCTCGGATTAGGCAGTCTTGACTACAAGTCTAACAAAAAGTAAAGCTATTTTACGACTCCGACACGAATTACATATTATCCAGGGGTCCCTTTACCACAGTTCGGAGCCGCGGAACAGTTTTCTATACAAGATCGCTGCAAAAAGTGCAGCCTTACCTAATGTCCATCCTACTGTTACTCATCTAGTTGGTATTGGCGAGTAACCTTCAGTAATAGTAATAAATCACAGAGAAAAAACACATTCATGTAGTTGCAAAAAGTTTGATAATATGTTAAGTAATGTTATATACCTATGTGGTATGTGACTTTTGTTGCCATGATGCCAGGTCTCTCTTGGAAATGAGATTTTTAATCTCAATGAGATTTTTTACCTGGATCAATAAAGGATTAATAAAATAATAAAAGTAATCCAAAGTATTCAGAATACGTTACTCAATGAGAGTACATTACAAAATACATTTTGGGGCATGTATTCTGTAATCTGTAGTGGAATACATTTTAAAAGTAACCTTCCTAACACTGACTGCTGGTATGATGTTCTTTTTATGAAATGCTATAGTTTTTCACTGTGGTTTCCCCGAGTCCCAAAGCCTTAGAAGTGGTTTTGTAACCCTTTTCATAATTATGCAAATTCTCATGACCATTGATCAACAACCGACCAAAACCCACTGATCAAAGACCACTGACCAATGGGGAATGGCTGCAATCACAGCATTGTAAGATGGTGTTACGAGTTCAAAATTGGGGATGGAAACAAGAGAAAAAAACCACAATAACAACACTGGTCCGGCCGGGTTGAGTCAAACGATGATTTTAATGATCACACGCGTGGGAGATGGACACTGATGCAGACAGCCTCAGATCTCAAAATGGTGGAGCATTGCTCAAACTTTTATAGCCCCTGGTGCCTCCACCTTATCATAAAAAGCCTAAATATTTACATGCTTTCTCTCACACAGCGCCTAAGCTACGACCTTGGCTCCCTGCTTATCTGCTCCTGCTGCGATGGGGCAGAAAACTCCAGCATATTCTGTTCTCTTCTAATCAGACAAATAAGACAATAACTCTCTGTGAACAGTATTTCTTATAACTCAGCAGTATAATGCATCATAAAACAATGTCATTCATTCACAACAAGTCAGCAGTTTAATGTCATGCAAATCAGTTTAACTAATGCAATAGTTATCAGCTTCTTCTAATTCAGGAGAATAATGCAAACTAATCTACATAATAATTCACAATCTTTAATTCGGGGTATAACATGGCATAAAATAACACTACAATCCAACAATGGCAAAAGATGCAACACTGCAACACTGTAACAAAGTCAAACCAGGATGCATGTGTGGGAATAAAGAAAAATATTTTACTGCTACATATAGCTTTCATCATTATCATTGTATTAAAACGTTCATTAATGCTACTGGCATTACATTAAAACTTCTATTACAGGTGCGGCTATAACCATTTTATACACACATTGCAGATGTGCTCATGAAGAGTTGATGCTCAGTCTATTTAAGGGTTTTAAGCTAAGTTTGGCGCGATGTCGCGACGATCCCTGGTGTAAGTGACTTGGAGCAACAGAAGGTTAAAAAGGCATACATGCTCACAAACACAAATGATTTAAAGATAGGCCTGGAATTCATTTAGCTTCTTACCGCATTTGAGTTTGCCTAGTAACAGGTGACAGAAGAAGAGTCAAGAAGAGTGCAAGCCCACAGGAACCATCTGGAGGGTGAAACAAATTGCCATGTATGGAAGAACGTGATAGAAAAAGGAACTTCTCTGTCTATAATCCAGTTTTGAGTTCCCTCCCCAGACGCCTTAACGCCCACTCACATCCTGGGCCATCTGATCTCAGGAATTCGCATGATAAGGTGGGGCCAGGTTTCACAATGAACTCACCCGGAAACTCTGGCTGATTGGGACCCACACCCAGTTTCACACCTTGGCTCAGGCGATTAGAGGATCATCAGGGGTCCTTTTGTCCCTCTGTGGGGGGATACTCCCACTAGGTTTATATCTGGGACTCTCCACCATTTGACCTTAGAACTGAAGAAGCTTCTCGGATGAGAGGTGAAACGTCTTCAAGTAACTTAAAGAAGTCCAGACGCTTTTCTTTGCAAGCTCCTTTGACTACGATGACCTGGATGACTGAGAACCTTCACAGACAACTTCTCTGTCTGTTTTTAGCTTTTTAATTGACCATTTACTGTAACTGATGCATGTCATATTCTTGTTAACGCATGAAGGGGCAGAACCCTGATGAATTAAAAGCAGTCTGAAGTGTATTTTTGGGTGAAGATCTATGCTGATGTGTTGCAGTGTACATCTTCCCACACGTGTGTTCAATAAAATCAATGTTTGACTGCACTCTTCTGGGCCAGTGTTGGTTTGTTCTTATCCTCAATATTTAGAATTTGGGACACATGCTTAATGCATGCTCAATCATCCAGGTAAGTAAATCCCTCAAAGTTGATTCTGTTCATCCGAATGTAGCTTTTTCAGTGGGATAAACATTTCGTCACTCATCCAAGTGACTTCTTCAGTCTCAGCTTACTGGAGGTTTCCCCAATCTTATAAACAGTACATTTGCACAATGACTGAAACTAGCAACACTGAAGGAACAATGGGCTGGGAGGTCAGTTCCTTTATCATTAATATGCAAATTCCCATGACCATTGATCAACAACCACTGATCAATCACAGCATTGTAAGAGGGTGAAATTAAACCAGGAAATCAAACCGACAAAGTGTATCAAGAAACCAGCAACTCTAGAAAGGAAGCCCTTCAAAAAGAGACCTTTAGAGTCTATCAAAACTAGAAACAAAACCAAAATACTACAGTAAAACTAAAGCTCATTATATTATAAAATAGAAAATACAAGACCACAAAAATAACAACTTACAACAAAGAAAACCACGAAGTAGAAACTTCAACATCCAGTTAGCAGCAGTCAGAATTTGGCGTAATAATATGGCTGCCATGGCAGAAGTGAGGCCAACTGACAGCCAATTGAAAAGCTTCACGCAAAACTTTAAGACGTTTCATCCAATCTCTCTCTCTCTCTCTCTCTCTCTCTCTCTGTGTGTGTGTGTGTGTGTGTGTGTGTGTGTGTGTGTGTGTGTGTGTGTGTGTGTGTGTGTGTGTGTGTGTGTCTTACGCACGTATCTGAATATGTACACATGGCTAAAGTAGAGCTTTTTCCAAATGGCCTGCTTTTGTTATTCTTAACATAAACATAGATTTTAAAAAATGGATGCTAATCTGTTGACAGAACAATAGCTGTGAATTAGTCCACATCAAGGTTATTGCTCTTTTTAACCTAAAAAAAAAATACAACCCACATTTCTGCGCTGACATGAGCACTTCTAGCAGATAAGGCGTCCTGTCTCTCTGTAGTAATAGTCGGTGATAATGATTAGCGGCTCTTATTCTGGGTTAGGATGAAGCTCATCTCCATCTTGTAAGAGATGGAAATTTCTGTTTATATTATTCCTATTATTCAGCAGCTTTTGTCACACGAACCGCTGCGACGACGCCAACAAAGACACCGCAGCTTTCCGCATATTCAGAACAAATGTTTGCTCATTTGTGCGCGCCATACTTACACGTTACAGAGCCCCACCATGTCCGATCCCTGAAGCAGGATGAGGAGGATGGTAGCAGAAGAGCAATGTGGGCTTTAAGATAAGGCGATTTCCACTGGTCATCGCTCACGAGAGGGGAGGAGGATAGTATGTCCACGGTGGGTTGAGCTGTTACAGCGGATGCGCTTTCTGGCGTAACCCCACAGAGAACCAGGCTGGAATCGAACAGGTCACCTTATGCTTGGCAAATAAATAAATAAATAAATAAAATCAATTAATTTATTAATTTTATTTCAATAAATTAATTGAAATAAAAACAATTAATTTATTTTTCCCACCCATCATGATGAGGGTGGGAAAAAAGAAATTGCAGTGGATTGGGTGACTGAGTGGGTGCTACTGCGTCCCCAGGTGGCCACTCGGTATACTTCAGCTGTTCCTTTGTAACAGCAACAATAACAGTGATACAAAGAGAAGAAGAAGAGTAAGAAAATTAGTTTTGTGACGCAGAAAAAAAATCAGCACTTCCTGTGTGTCTTGGTTCTGGTTCTTTGACTCAGTGTTTTGTGTTTTTTGGACTTTTGAATCGTAATTCATTGTTGTTTTGATTTTGAGAAGTGGGCTTGGTTTCTAGATTCTGTTTGCCCCCGTTGTATCATTTGAGCCCACAAGTTCAGCCCTCCTTGGGGTTATTTACTTCATGTTCCCTCAATGTTGTCTCTGTGTTTCATGTTTTGTTTATTTCCATTCACTCTCTCACTGTGCTACACACAATGTGTCCTGACATCCTGCCCAGTGACCCAGCTTTCAAAGTAATTAGCAGTCAGTCCACGGATTTCAAAGGATGTGAGTGTGAAAACTGGACCACGGAGCAATAGAAGAAGGTGGCCTGGTCTGATGAATCGTGGATGGCTGGGTGTCACTTACCTGGGAACACGTCAAGCTTGCAGAGGCAGTGTGATGCTTTGGGCCGTGTCCTGCTGGGAAACCTTGGTTCCTGACATCCATGTGCATGTTACTTTGACATCACCTATCTAAGTGTGGTAACAAACAATGCACATCCTTTTATGGAAACTATATTCCTTGTTTGCTGTGGCCTCTTTCATCAGGGTACTCATCAGTGGTTTGATGAGCACAACAATGAGTTTAAGGCGCTGACTTGGCCTACATATTTCCCAAACCTCAATCCAATCAAACATCTGTGGGATTTCCTGGGCAAACAAGTCAGATCCACAAAGGACACACCTTGCATCTTACAAGTTTTAAAGGATCTGTTGCTAACATTTCAGTGCCGGATACTCAAACACACTGGCCAGGGTCTGGTGGAAAGACCCAGGGTCAGGGCTATTTTGGCAACACAATATTGGGCAGTTGGTCGTAATATTATGTTTGATCAGTGTAAAAAACTAGAGGTTAAATTACAGAGGCAAGGAAGAGAGCATTTGGACATGTGCAGAGGAGAGAGAGTGGTAATATTTGAACAAAGGATGCTGAATGCAGAGCTGCCAGGGAGGAAGATAAGACAAGGATCACAGAGAATGTTCATGGATGTAGTGAAGAAGGACATGCATAGGGTCGGTGTGACAGAGGAAGATACTGGTGATATAGCATATTAGAGTAAATTGATCAAAAAGGTAGCACTTTTCAAATAATGGAAAACTGACTTTATGCTCAAAATATTTTCAATCTTATTTTCCAAGTAAAATCTGTTACGAGTTCATTACTTTTAAAGGCCACAGACATTCAGAAATTTATAGGCTGCTGTGTTCTACTAATTCTGATTTATAAGCCAAAGTAAGATGGATCATGTCCTGGCATAATGATGGCTGCAGTGTGGTGGAGCTATATGGGGTAATGAAATTGAAAGTAACACACAGTGTGCTATTTGCCAGGGGGATAGAGAAGCTTTTCAAGGCAACACTCGATCACCATGGTCTAAACTGAAGTTTGTTAAATTTCAGAGATCCATTCATCTCAGAAGCATAAAGCATTTTGAATCCGTTCTTTTTTCTTTTTTTTAGCAAACTTTATTTTTACTTTGGTTAGTTTTTTGTCAATGTGGCATGTATAAAATTTTCATTGTATAACTTTGTTGTTTATTGTACACTATACTGTTTTTATTCTTTATCCAGCCACTGTAGCACAAAAATTCCCTTGAGACCAATAAAGTATCTATTTATCTGTACTTGCATTATAGCTATGAGGTATAACAGATTATTTTAATGAACTGGAATTAGTGTAAATTAATTTACACTGATTTATTAAACATCTAAGAAATAATCACACAATAATGAGAATAACTTTAAATAAGACATTATAAAAATGAAAAGTAGATAGAAATTAGAAAATTATAAGTACATATTTATTTACATTTTTCACAAGATAGGGATACATGACATTTTTCTGTTGATTATCAGTTAATGCTGACCTGCAGTCAATACAAAGCAGGCCAGCCATCCACACTGGTTGGAACAACAGAGATATATAGTAAAGCATATGTGTCGTTACAAGTGCAATTCTTTAACACAGCAACTTCTACTTTTCCAAACAGTAGAAGTAACAGGTCACAACATGTCTGTCTTAGTAGGCAGAGGTAGTAACCTCTACTTTCACTTTACTGATACCTTCTTAAGTTACATCACATTCAGTGTCTTTACACAGAGAGGAAAATGTTCATTAATAAAAGAATGGATCAAAGTGTTGGAGTATAAAGAAGCACTAGAGCTACATTCAGAGGACTGTACTTGTTTCAATCTGGTTTTAGAGCTAAGACCACTGTTTTCTGGGTTATTAATTAAGATGACTGCAGAGAAAGATCTGTCTCTAAGCTTATGCTCAGTGTTAATTTACACACACTCAGTCAGTGGTTCTATACAGTTTTCTAACGGGTGAGGACTCTCAGGTAGAGCCAGGAGCTGATTCTGCTGCCTTCCCCATGGGGGAGCTAGTCTGTGCCACCTTGCTGGGTGATGCCGGTGAGGACAGCTGTGGCGTTTCTGTTCTATCGCTAACTGCCTCCTCTGCCTCCTCCCTCTGCTGTACAGAGGACAGATATTGCTCCAGCAGGCTGCAGTCTGCACTGTCTGCTCCATCGCTGCCATTAGCGAGGCCACTACAAACGGGGCTTAGCGCTCGCACTGTTTTCAGAGAGTCTGCTGTCCCACTGCTCAGGAAGCTGTCCTCTTGCGCCACCTGCTGATCGCAAGTCAACTGGAAGCCAGAGTCTGGGAAGGAGACATCTGTGCTGGGTGGGTTGGTGGTACTGGAAGCAACGGGTGGGGTGGCCTTGCAAAGTCCAGGGGATGAGATCTGAGCAGGGGTGGCGGCTTGCGTAACGACTGCCAGCTGCTGCTCCACAGACTGCTTCCACTGCTGCATAGCCTGGAACTACACACAAATCACACAGAACGTAAACTATTAATTTATGGACAGATTTCTTGAAACAATATTATACATATCTTACAATGTTAAACAGAAACTACCTCTTTCCATAGAAACTTCAAAGCTTCCTCCTGAACGAGCCTTTGCAGCCTCTCCTCCTCATACTGCTTCTGCACACTGCAAACAAACCAGATTCACTGTCACTGATTAACACCTATGCATCGCAGAAAGAGTATCACCAGTGCTGCTTGTCGGTCACTTACTGATCCAACTTCTCAGACAGGAAGAGGATGTGTTCCTGCATCCTGCGTAGACGGATTTCACTGCGCACCTCTCTGGCCATGGGGTGACAGCACCGCGTGTAATGGCCTCTCCACCAGGACTGTATTTTAATTGCAGCTCTGTCTGCTTCTGTCACACTTGATTTACTCTCAACTTCTTTCACCTCAGCTTTAACAAAATCACTATCTAGGTCATTCTGTAGAGTGCTAACTCTGACTCCTAGCAATCCACTAGATGTTGAATCTGTAGCAGAAATAACTTCTTCTCCTTCAAGCTTCTTTCTCTCGTGCTGCTCTACTGTGGGTGGATGCTGTGGATTGTTGGCGTTTTGCTTTTTGGACTGCGCTGGGTGCTTTGGTGCCAGGGAATCTGGCTCGAATGTCTCCGTCTCGTCCTCGCTGTCAGAGTGGGTCGATCGTGGCTCCAGATCAGGTGTGAAGGGGATGAAGGTGGACTCTGAGGAAAGTATGCTACTGTTGAGTTTGTCCTCACCTGTCTGCACATCCTCCAAATAAATTTGTTCCTCGCTGAGCCTTGGGCGACATACTATGGGCAGTGACGGATTGGAAGAGTCAGAGCTCACCCAGGTGTTAAACCGAACAACTGGCTCTACAGGAGAGCAGACAAATCAACGATTAGTGCTACAACCTAATTCAAATACATGATTCTCACTGGTCTTGGACCAGGGTGCCAGGCAGGCAGCACTCTTACCTGTCTGCGGGACTGATGGAACAGCTGGTCCAGGTACAGTGATATTCTTCAACTCTCTGGCTCCCCCTTGTGGAACTCTATGTGACGGACTGTGACTCTCCACATCAAGCTGAGTTGGTCGAGGAGGACTGCGACAGCCTCCCCGGGTCTCCTCCAGCAGTTGTCTCTGATGAAACCTGAGACAGTTATGAAGGATTAAGAATGATGTGTGCTACCATGACCAAGAAGTGGATACTGGGTAATGATTTTTTTCCCTTGCAGTTTATCTATATTAAGATTTCAACCTCTGTTTACTGAGAATCTTCTCCAATTTGGCATCCTCAGCTGTGATGGCAGGTGATGCCGTCACAGGGCAGACAGTGGCCAGGTACTGCAGCAGTTGAATGTGCTGCCCTGGTCGATATGAGCGACCTTTGCCCTGACTGTAGAGCCACTCAGCTTTCAGACTGTAAATTTAACAATAACACACAGCAAAAAAGAAAAAAAAAAGACACTCAGGCATTCTGATGCTTTTGTACTGATGATATTAAGCACGAGAATATACACACCCCTCTTTCTGTGTCACTACATAGCCATCCAGGACCTTCAGGCTCAGGCACCAACTCATGACATATGGCCGATAGTCGAAACCAGGCAGAGATGGGGTCGCCATAACACAAGGGTTGCTCATGATGGAAAGCTGCTCCAGCTCATGAAGTGGCGCCAGGTATGACATCTGGAGTAATCAGTTTATAGTCAGTCATAGTAATATTAGGTAATTTTAATATAACCAGTGTGACTGTATTAAATAAGGGAGAACATAATTACTTCATTAAGATCCCTAATCTCATTTTCTGCCAGGGAGAGAATAGATAATTGGGCAGGAAGGTGAGCGGGGACAGTTCGGAGTGTTGTGATGCTGTTTCCGTGAAGTAACAGAGTCTGCAACATTGACAGAAAATGATGCCGTCAAGAAAATCAACAATACCATTAATATAGGGCTAGTCTGAGCATATATTCAGAGGTCTCAGCACACTGACCTTTAGTGCCACCAGTTTGGTCAGATCACCAATGGCAGATATGTTATTGTCAGACAGATCCAAGTGTTGAAGAGAGACACAGTTGTTAAGTTGCTCAATGACCTGTGTGAAAGATTGCACAGTGGATTAAATATTTGTCATTACACATGGACTGAATTTGCTGTCAGTAAATTACAGGATCTGTGTAAAGGATGTTAAAATATCTCATATCCTCACCTTAATATTGTTGCCAGAGAGGTTGAGCCACTTTAGGTGAGGCAGATCTCTCAGCCCCTCAATGTAGCCTATACTGTTATTGGGAAGATTTAGGACTCTCAACTCTGTCAGCCGAGACACACCCATCATTCTCACCAGACGATTACTGGCTACAGACAGCTAAAGAAGGAAAAGAAAGAAAAGACATCAAATCATGAACTGGTGTGTGGTATCTGGACTCTAATGGCTGGGGAGATTATGTAGAAAATTTTAAACTAAAGGGTTTGTTACCTGCTGAAGGCCTGGATTCCTTTCTAGGTGGTCCAGCTTCATGATGTTGTTCCCGTCCAGGATGAGAGTGTGAGTGTCTTCTGAGCAGGTGAAACTGGGCTCCAACTTCTGCATACCTCGGGCTGAAAGATCCACCACAGGTCCTGGCAGGATAAAGAGATTCAGCAGACTTAAAAAGCACAATGTGGGTCTTGGTTTTCCATAAAGATATCTTGTGAAATCAGTCATGCACATTAAGTATATCTCATAAGTCAACAGCATTAGGCTTATCTTGAACCTGAACCTTTTTCCCAAATCCCAAATTTTGGTCAGTTTTTGTAGGCTACCCCTCTTGTACTCTACTAGAGGGTGGTGATGGGTTAATTATGGGCTACCCAGACTACTATAATAGCTTATGAATGGGTATAGAACTGTAACAACTAGCAACCTACCATGCAAAAAAAATAAAATAAAAATCTTAGTTACAGTTTCTGGCAAGTCCCCTGAATTAGTTTACATAATCTTCTATTGATCACTGTCATTTGAAGGCTAAGAAGGTCAAGAAATCAAGCCTCTGCCCAGTGTGCCTGTCTGTCAACACCTGCAGAACCTAAATTTGTCCCAGACAACCTGGTTTCATGTTTAAGGTTTCGGAAAACTTTGCTAAAACTTAATTTACAAATATGCCAGAAAAGGACTGACGCGTGATGTTTTAATGCTCATGAAAGGTGAACTAGCTAACGACAGCACTCTGTAGTGTTCTCCCGTTAACCTCCGCCGGTGAGAAACATCTTCCTATGGGCTACCTTTCAAAGGAATATTAATATGTTTGACTAAAATAGATGACCGACTACTTACCAGCATTTCTATCAAACTGTAAATCTGATACACCCATCCTATCGACCCAGACCACAGCTAGCGTTAGCTGTAGTAGGAAAGACAAGAAGCGTCTGTGTGTTGTCAAACTGCGTAATCGAGGGGCTCTGGGATTTGTAGTTCATAAAGGATGTCTCGCCCCTTGCAACGTTGCGTCTATGGAAGTCGAAAAGACTACAATTATCCTACAGCGCGCTAAGGTTGCTGAAACGCGCCAGCCAGATTTAAGCAAAGAATAAAGAAGGGAAACATTAACGTTAATAGGAAAAATGCGTCTGAAGTGACCATAGTTATCTCATATTTCATTTTAGAGTGTTTAATACGCTGCTGTTCTGTATTATTAAGCCAAGAGCAGCTAGCTAATTGCTTGCTAGGCAACCGTCTAAATGTGACGTCACCATTGTGCTGCTGGTCAATGTATAAATTTGACTAAAATATTTTTATAATAGAAAAAAATATATCGTATAGGTTCACTGATTTTAAAGCATTACTGAAACATTAACGGTCAGAATTTTTAAATTTGTTCACAAATATCAATCTCGTAGTCAGTAAATTCCGTTTCCGCATCCGTCATCTTTCTTTCCGGTTTTGTGCCCTCTCGTAGCCATCATGAAGTGAGTGTATGCAATGCTATCAAATGCCATCTCAGTATTTAAATAAATACTTTAAGGATGATAAGTACATTGAAAGAAACTATGTACGGTTCTCTTTCGCTGATGATCTGTATTTGTCGTTTTCAGGGTCGAGTTGTGCAGTTTCAGCGGGTATAAAATATACCCCGGCCATGGCCGCCGATACGCCAGGATAGACGGGAAGGTAACTAGCTGGCAAAGTCCGACACCGGTTTCTTCTCGCTCTGTCCCAAAACTATTTTATGAAGATCACTTTACCGGCTCAGCATTAAATATCCCCTGTGAATGTGATTTAAAATTTGTCTATTGAAAGACACACTCACAACGGGCCCAATTGAGTCCTGTATAACCCGCTAATGTTAGCAGCTAAACGATAGCATTTTTAGGTTCAGCCACACGGGTGTATTTGACTGCGATAGTATTATGATAGATAACAGTCATAGAGACCTATAGGCTCTGTTGACTGTGACTTGTTCTGAAAAGAGCCTACAGGGGTTTTAGATAAAGTGTCATTTATTTGTGTAAGTACATCTAGGAGAAAACAAGATGCATAAGTATGTAGCTTCACTCAAAATGTGGCTCTGTCCTGAGCTGTTGCCTACTACTTATAATTAATGCAGTTAAATTTCGTTATGTATCAAGTTTATGATACTTGTGAACAGTTCCACAATGCAAGGTGTGCTTTAGATTCAGTTTTGTCACATATGACAGACTGCTGTCAGCATCCAAAGTCAGTTTGTAGCTCAGGTGGATAGTACAGGGTGTAATTGTCGTAATTAAAGGCAGACATGAGTAACATTCGGTTATTTAATTATTTATTTTTGTCTTTGTTAGGTGTTCCAGTTTTTGAATGCCAAGTGCGAGTCTGCCTTCCTGGCCAAGAGGAACCCCAGACAGATCAACTGGACTGTGCTGTACAGACGCAAGCACAAGAAGGGCCAGTCTGTAAGTACAATCCTGTATATGAGTTCATCATTTATATTTGTTTACAAGGAGACTGAAGTGAAAATGTAGCTATTTTTCCATGGCAGACAGACTTTGTGGGTCCAACAGTTAATTGCTGTGTTGATACTGGTAATTTGTGAAACAGATAAACTAATCTTAGCTATTAGATATAAAAGTAGATCGTCACATTTACTCAAGCTCCAATTTATACATCAGACTGGCTGCGGGTGGATGGTGTGCACGGTGTTGGTCCGTGTTACGTGTTGTTGCTCAACTGTGTTTTGCAGACTGAGCAGCAGCGCTCACTCCACACCTGCAGCCACAGAATATCTGGAGATCATAGTACTGGCCTTTGACGTCTTTGCAGACATATTCTCATCGGTCAGCCTCCAAACTCTCCAACATGCTGACAGTTGCTACCTGTGGATGGATTGTGTGTAGTCCTGTTAAAGTAGTTCAAGGATTTGGTGTTGGCTTTGTGAAATTTAAAGGCAAACATAAGAAATGTGTTTTGTTTACAATATGCTGAGTTATTAAAACTTCTGTTACTCACCATTGCTGTAGCATGACAACGTATTTTACTCAATTTATCTCAGGTTTTTAGATTTTCATGGTTACAGCTGTTGACTGTTACAGTTCCTATGGATGGTGATGCATCAGAAAACACGCAAAACTGACTTGTTGGATGGCTAGACACATGCTTTAATACTGATTTTGCCATGCCTTAGATGGCAGTTTGAGAAAATTGATTAATAACTGTTCATTTATGACTGCAACCACCCCTTTGGCGGTGTAGACTAGAGTAAATATGTAGACACATTTCCTTTCAGATAGATTAGCCACTCATTTCTTTGTGATTAACAGGTTTGTCTTCTATTCTTCATGTGAACATGAAAAACCATTATTTTTTTAAGTAAACCAATGTATTGTATTTTTTTTTTTTTGTAACAGGAAGAGGTGGCAAAGAAGCGTACCCGCCGTGCAGTGAAATTCACGAGGGCCATCACTGGCGCCTCCCTGGCTGAGATCATGGCCAAGAGGAACCAGAAGCCCGAGGTCCGCAAGGCCCAGAGGGAGCAGGCCATCAGGTAAGAGGACAAAGTACCCTGTGTGCCTCCTTTTTTTTTTTTTTTTTTTTTTTTTTTTTTTTTTTTTTTGTCTTTTTTTTTTTAGTCTTGTGATCTTGAAGGTGATAAAATTGTGTCAGAGTATTATTCGGAATAAAGAAGGGTTGGATTAGAATCCAGTGTAGACGATATTGGCCGACTTGCCCAGAGGTTGCATTGGGCATTTTATTGGTTTCATATTTTTAAGAATGAGATTTAATTGTGTTAGTTTTCATTAAAAAAAAAATAGAATTTAATAAAACAGGAGAGTGCCTTTATGAGGGCATTGAAACGCTGACTGCAGGGACTTTTCATAGTAACACAGCAAGAAACAAATGATTTTCTTTGTTTCCCCCTGCAGGCTTAGCTGATACACAAACACAGCAGTCAAATATAATCTGAGTGAACATTAATCTGGGGCTTGCTTCAGCATAATTAAAATAAAGTGAATTACAGGGTGTTGCAGCACTTCCTGATTTAATTCTATTCTGCAGACTGAGTCCACTCTGCTGCTACACTAGACACTTAAATTCCTGATATTCATTACTTCAGGATTAGTTTTATCATCAAAGAACACATCTAACATTACTGAGTGATATTAGCAAAAGTCTCTGAATGCTTCTGGTCCTTTAAACACTCACCGAACAGTCAGAAAACCCCCAATATGAACTCCTGCATGAGAGAACAGCTGCACCTATGAACCTGAACTGATCACAAACATGCTGTATTTAAGCTTAATGTTATTAAAAACAAGAAAATACTGATGCTGCCACCGTCTTTAGATTGTTTTTTAAAGTTGTTGGTATTCTAGTCCAAGAAAATGAGGAAGCCTTTAGAGTTGCAACACTTAATCATTGATTGGAAATATTCAGTAAAAACAGCTTCTGATCAGCCTGTCAGTGTAATCAGTCACTGTAAATAATTACTACAGTGAACACTTTAATAGCACTTCAAGTTCACTTTGTTATTCCAGTCATAATAAAATACGATTATAAAGCATGTTTCTCACAGTGAGTGGCGCAAAAAGGGCTGAGGTCATGAGGAGCAACCAATGCTCAAGTTAAAAATAAAGTATTCAAATACATACCGTATTTCCTGGACTACAAAGCGCACCTGAATATTAGCCGCACAAGCTAAAATCAGGGGAAAATCCTGTTTTGTACATACATTAGCCGCACCTGACCAAAAGCCGCAGGTGTTTCAATGTTGACTTATCATATGTAAGAGAATATGCACAAAGCGAATTGTCAGGAAAGAGATGGCTGTTTGGAGACACACCCCTTTTATTAATATTTTGAAAAACAAGTTATGGGTACATATTTGCACATGTGCTGTGCTTCATAAATGAGTAACAAATGTAGTACATAACAGTAACCCAGAAAAATAGATTCGGACTACCTTTTAGGCTCAGGTGCAGTGACACTGCTTTAACAAGAAGAAAAGTCAGTCATTCACCATCTTTCTCTTCTTCCTGCGCACTAAAACCACCAAAGTCCTCTTCTCCAGTGTTGGAAACGAACAGGCTCAGGATGGCTTCGTCATCCACTCTCAGCTTCTTTCCTTCGTTGTCACTTTCAAAACCAAAGAAATCCTCATTGTCAGTGTCGGAGTCGAACACCCTCTGAAGGGCCGTGGCGGTGTCCTCCTCTTCATCATGCAGCAGTCCAGCCCTTCGAAATCCGTTGGTGATCATGGATGTTTGCGCACTTTTCCACGCTGTCAGGATCCACCGGTGGAGTTGAGCACAACTTGCTTTTCGCAAGTTTATCGCCGCTCGTCATCCACGACTCCAGCTGAACGCGTAGCGCTACTTTGAAGTTTGTTTTTCGCGCTACTTGTACGGCACTATGTTGCCTGGCGGATGGACATGTGACCAACATACCACTCTTGAACCCCGATCCTTCCGCCAGGCAACGTAGTGCCGTACAACAGCGGAACAAACAAAACAAATCGTCTTACGATATCACAAAAATCTTGGACAATCTATAGAAAAGCCGCACCTGACTAAAAGCCGCAGGGTTCAAAGCTTGTGCAAAAAGTAGCGGCTTATAGCCCGACAATTACGGTACATTAAAAAATTATATAAAGAAATTGTTGTTTTTAATTTTTTTTGGTCACTTTGATTGGTTTGGACTAAATTTGGTTCTCTTTGTTCTCTCAGAGCTGCCAAGGAGGCCAAGAAGGCAAAGCAGGCTGCAAAGAAGCCTGCTGCAGCACCTGCAAAGGTAAGAGCCAGTGCTCTGTGTTGAAGTTATTCAATAAGATGTCAAAACAAGTTTTTAGTTTCCCCACTGCATGCTCTTCAGGCTTCACTCGATTATTCAGCAACTTAATTCAAAGTTTTTCTTTGTGCAAGAACTTAGTTGATTTTCTTCTCCCATAGGCCGCTGCTAAGGCTGCACAGAAACCCAAGATCGCCAAGCCCATGAAGGTCAGCGCACCTCGCGTCGGTGGAAAACGCTAAACCTGACTCGCTGTTTATGGTTGTGAATAAAAATTTTGGTTGACCAACATTTATGCTCTGATTTTCGTATTTATTTGACAACTTTACTGAAGCCCAGGCAGCCCAACGTTTATGTATTTAAATTTATTTTTGTGACAATGAGCCTCATTTCCAAGTTCCATGAATTACAGTATTTGAATATTTTGTTTCAACATGATGGGACCATCATAGTGTCGTGGACAAACTCTTTTGGTGTTGTGGCAGGAAGGACATTCAGCATTAACTGGG